AATGCCACGTGCAGAGCGAGGCAGGGAAATGAAATTCCTCTCTGCTAATCCCTCAGCAAGACAATTCTTGTTAAATCTGATCTTTCAGCTGAGATAACGACGTTGTGTGACTCCAAGAGCAGACAACGATTCTGCTGTGCCTCAGGATGGTGTTTCCAGAGTCCAAAAGGGCTTCAAGTATTGGGATTAACTGCATGAATGGAAGATTCTGGGGCACATTTCACGACTGCCATAGGAAGGGCAGATGACAGGAGTGGAGAAGCACAGCTCATTCCACCACCAGACCTACAAACCAGCACTGCTTATTCTCACAAGCCACACCGTGTCCATAAATCTCCAGGGGCTTCCCAGGGGTAGAACAAGGTCTGATGGATTTTCTGCACCCAGGGATGAGGTGCAGAGAGCTGGCACAGCTTGTCAAAAGCAGCTCCACGGGCCAGTGTCAGCCTGGGATGAGGATCCCGGCCCCTGATCCCACCACGGGCTGGGATGAATGGCTGTGTCAGCTGAGGCTCTCCTGGCTCTGAAGCATTTGCCTGTGGAAGCTTCTGAATGAATTCCAGTCAAAGGGACACCACACATGCCAGAAACTATCAGCTTACAATGGAAAACTCGCGGCTGGAATAGGAGATCTCTCTCTCATTGACTGGAACGGGGCAGATTCATCCCTGGGAGCCCTGGCAGAGCTTTCCCACAGGACATGGGAAGAGCAGGGTCAGCACAGCTGGACCAGGCTCATCTGTGACCTCTCTGGCACAGCATGGTGTGGTCTCAGTGCTCAGGTGAGATGTGGGGGCACAGCAGCAGCCCAGACCCAGCACACCGTTATTTAAATATGTTTTGAATGAACAAAGCAAGAGAAATCAAAACCAGAGCTGGAATCCTCGAATCTCACACTGCCGGGGGATTGAGCTGCACTCCAAGATAACCTTTCCTTGGGAACTGGGAACTGTGGCAACATCCTCTGCTTTTTGAGAAACTCCCCTCCTCAAAACCAGCCAGAAGTCTTGGTTTACCAAAGCAGAGGCTGTTTGCACTGAGATAAACTGAACTCCTGGTAACTCCTCTCACTTTGCCATGTGAGCAGCCTGGTTCCTCAGAGTGGGAATTTCTGCAGAACTGCCCTGCAGGACGGAGCTGCTCCTCGGACACAACACAAACCACTGTGTTCCCAAACCCACAGGGATGCCCTGGAGCTGGATTCCCATTTACTCCACACAGAGGTGGCTCACTGTCTCCATCTGGCCCAGTCATTCCCACCATTCCTGCCCTGTGACTCCTGGTTATGGTGCATTTAATGTGCGAGGCATGACCTGCCCAGTAATGAAGAAAGTGGCAGAGCAGCAGGATCAGGAGCTCAGTTCCCACTCCCCATCGGGGCAGATGGGCCCAGCTGTCCCTCGTGCTGCTCTTTAAAGAAACATTAATCTATTTTAATTCCAGGCTATCATGACAGTATTGATTTTTAAAAGCTGTTATTGCTCAGGATACCATTTATGGTTGTTTTAATTAATGCAGTTGCTCCAACCTTCGCTAAGTGCAACCTGCAGCTCGCTCGAGCTGCAGGGGAAGGGGAGGGAAGTGATTCCAGGGGTGAGCTGGAATTGTGAGCACACCCGTGCTCACAACTGCACTCTGACACCCTGAGAACTCGTGTTAAAGTAAGTTTTTAAGTCTGAATAACAAAAGATTGGGCAGTGGAGGGAGAAAGAATGGGACCAGTAAAAACCAAATGAATGAAGATCCAGGCTGCTTTCACCCAAGGTGACAACTGTCCCTTCCCAGTTTTTTAAGCCAATCATGAACCTAAATTTATGCCAGGCTAAGTCTTGGTTTACTAATGTAACAGAAATTGTGCACATTTAGAACTGAAAAAAATCTATTACTGCATCATAGCAAGGGTGTGAATAAACCCAGAATTTTCTCATTTTAAGGAAATGTTTGTTTGTTTGTTTTCATATTAAGCATGAGAGATCTGCCTTCCTCTTGAATATACTGACTTTTCTGAAGTTATGTTGTGCACTACAAAACAGGAATGTTTTAGACTCATGTAAAGGTGTAATATTTAGGCTTCTCTAAAAAAACTGCTCAGATAACAGAACTGATTTGTTTAGAAGACAAAACATTGATTTAGGAACCTTACTCTTAGGATGCTCTTTTCGAAGTTACTCCTTTTACCCATCTCACCTTCCAACTCAGATTTTAAAGACCTCCCAGAGGTCCCTGTACACGTCCTGGTCTGCAGTTTGCATTTCATTCATCGCACCCAGCTCACAGCACACCAGTGACTCTCACTTTGCCTTTGTTTTAGTTTGTCTTCCAGCTCCTGTGTTTGCTGGGGAAACACTGGGAACGCCAGCAGGTTAAATGTCACTGATGCCACATTTATTGAGAGTAAAAGGCCACTGCCCCAGCCCACGTTTCACAAGATCTGGAGGAGCACAGGGATCTCCGGCCCTGGTCCTGCCCTGGGCGCAGCTGGAACTTCGCCTGGCTCTTGTGTGGCCTCGAATGGTGCTGTCACACAGGGAACGCTTCCTGCAATCCAGGCATGACAGCGGCACTGCTCACAACTCCAGGGAGCACAACAACCAGCCGAATGCAACATCCTTCCCAGCCCAAACCGGCAGCTTATTTGTGCATTCAGAAACTTCACCCACCCGCTTTTCGCTCTGCCTTGTCTTCCCCTTTTGTTCTCATTATCTATTTATCAGGATAACGCACGAGTCGGGAGCCAGACCCGCTGGGAGCCCTATTTCGGGAAGTATCAGCTCTTCCTACCAACCCACCCCCTGCGAGCCCCAGTGCACCAACAATCCCTTCGGGCTCGTGGACAAGCCCAAGCAAGTCCGGGGAGCGGGGTTACCACCTGAACAGGAGCGGGAGGAGGGCGAGAACAGCGCTGATTCCTGACAAAGGCTTCCCTATTAAAGAAGTATTTTCAGAGAGTATCGGCAGCGCAGAGCGCTCCCTCCCTTTACATCCCTTTTTATCCCTATAAACTTATTCTTAGCGGAGATCTCTGTGGGTGTTTCTCTGATTTCTGACCTGTGCTGGCGGCTTGTCCCTAAAGCCCCGCACGCCCCCGGGCGCGGTTTCTCTCCGACAGACAGACGGACGGACGGACGGACCCCCGAGCAGCCGGCGCTGCCCGGGACCTGCCCCCCCGGCTCAAAGCAATGGGAATGCCGGGACTCCCAACCCCCGGCCGGGACCCCCAACCCCCGGCCGGGACCTGCCTCTCCGTTCACAGCAGTGGGAGCGCCGGGACCCCCATTCTCCGGCCGGGATGGGAACCGGGACCCTCAATCCCCGCCCCACGACCGGGACCTGCCTCCCCACTCACAGCAACGGGGAGCGGCGGGACCCTCGACAGGGACCCAGCGGCGGGACCCCCGACCCCTGAGCAGGATTTGCCTCTCCTCTCACAGCGACAGGAACAGCAGGACCCCCGCTCGCCTCCCCCTCCGCTGCCGCTGCCCACCACCAGGAGCCGACCCTTCTCTCGGCGCAGGACGACCCCCGGGCGCGGCGCCTCGGCACCCACCGCCCCCTTTCCTTCCGTCCCTTTTTCCTTCTCCTTTCCTCTCCTTACCAGCTCCTGCCGCAGGCGCCGCAGGTGCTGCTCCATGGCCCGGCTCGGCGCGGCCCGGGCGCGGGCGGGGAGCGGCGGGGGCCGTGCGGGGGGCGGCCCCGGGGGGCGGTGGCAGAGCGCGGGGCCGGGGCCGCGGGTGCTGCCGGAGCGGCCGCGTGTGCGGGGGGAGCCGCATCCCCCTGCCCGGCTCCACAGCCCGCAGCCCCCGGGGAAGGGAGGGGGGGGAAGGAGAGGGGGAAAGGAGGCGGCGAGAGGCTCCTCCAGACCCAGCCCAGCGCCCCGCTCCCTTCTCGCCGCGTCCCAAAGTTTGGGTGGCTTTAGTTTGAGCGTGGGTTCCGCGCATCGCTGCGCGGGGAAGGAAGGAAGGAAGGAAAGGACCACCGCGACCAAAAGCGCGGATTAACCTACATGGCTTTAATCGCGAGAAACTGCAAAGCCACCCCGTTGTGGCGTCCCCGTTGTGTCCTGGCCGCGGGGCCACCGTGGGGGGATGTGACAGGTCCCGTGGGGAGGGGACAGCAGCGCGGTCGCTGCACCCCTCGCGTGGCCGTGCCCTTGGTCGGGGACGGCTCGTGTTCGCAGAGCCGCGAGAAACAGGTGCTGAAAACCCTTTAAGCGTGGGGGTTATTTCCAAAACTTCTTTTTTGTTTTTTTTTTTTTTGTTTTTTTTTTTTCCCCCTCCCCGCGTTTTCCAAGCGGCGTTTTCCGCCCGGGATGTGAGGGATGTTGTCGGTGCTCCTCTAAGACCAAAGATTGTTTTTTTTTTTTTTAACCTCAGATCAACAACCTCTGATGCTGCTTGTCACCACGGGGCATCAAACAGATGGACAGGCGAGCCAGGAAAAGACACAAACACTTTTGGATCATCGTTACAACTGCGTTGAATTTGAAAGGGTTTGAAGGTTTCGGTGTTTCTCACAAATGTATAAGTATTATTCTCAGTTTACATGCCAAATGTGGTGTTTAGCTGATAAATGCTGAGTCTCCTGCAATAATTTAACAGGAGTTTATCTGAATGTCTGCAATGCTAAAGAACCTGACAGGAAGAAAAATACTTTTATGTTTTCAAATTTGGGATTAAAAACGTACTTACTTGCTTTTTCCAATAAATTTGTCAAAGACTGGCCTAAAAATTTTGTTTTCCAGGTCTTTATTTTTCGAAAGAAAACATTTTTTATAGGTGGTACCAGGATTTTGTTCGTTTGCTTGCTTGTTTGTAGAAATCAACCTCGGTGTTTTTGAAAGCTGACCTTTGTGTCAACGTCCAATTTAAATAAGAAATTTCTGATCTGCCCTTTCACAAATGTTTGGGAAACACTCCAGAGTTAACATTTATTGATCCTTCCAGCATCTCTTTCATTATGGGCCAAAATTTCTTGTCTCTTTACTCATTTCAGGGTTCCCATTTCCCACCTCTTAAGCATGAAAACAGCATCTGTCTTTGAGGCTCTGCAGAACGTTGGGGAGTAAACATATTAATGCATTAAAAAATGACCTTATTGAAAAGTCAATCACTTCCAACGAGGTATGTCATGATGTGATGTGGATACTTGCCAGTTTTGAGTCTTTTTAAAAGTGTAAGCCAACTAGCCCAGCTATGATTTTTTTCCTTGAGTTCTGGCAGGATTTGTTGGCCAGCTGGTTGTTCCCCACGGGCCAGGGTGGGGTGTGGATGTCCCCAGCCTACCCAAGCATATGGCAGGTTGAACAGCCAGGCAGGGGTAAAAAATCAGAAAGATGGCACCATGTGGAGAGCGGGAGCTGAAATTCCTGCCTCCAACCCTCCACCTTCCCTTGCCTCTCCTGGTGTCCCAGGCAAGGATCTGTGTGCAAGAAGAGCCCCAGTCTCATCATCCAGCTTTCTGTGGTGCCTGGGTGGCTCAGGACCTTTATTTTCTACTGAAAACATGTCTTACAGTTTCTTTTATTATCTCAGTTTTATCAAGCACCATTTAGACATGATTTCTTCCCTGTGGCACAGCAGCAAAGCTGAAACACAACAGCGTTTTCTCTTGACATTTATCAGCACAGAGGCGGGTTCAGCTGAACACTGACCATGGGCTTTATTTATCCCAGCCAGCTTTGGGCAATGGTATTTTTAGGTATTGTTTTATATTTGGCAGGGAAAAGACTTCTGAGTCAGTGACAATCATGAGGTTGTGAACTCTCCATTCCTGGATGTGTTCTAGGCCAGGTTGGACGGGGTTTGGAGCAACCTGGGATAGTGGAAGGTGTCCCTGCCCGTGGCAGGGGGTGAAGTGAGATGAGCTTTATGGTCCCTTCCAACCCAAATGATTCTGGGGTTCATTCTATGATTTCATGATTCTCTTCTCCTGGGGTTACCAGACTGCTGATGAGCTCTATGGCTCTGGTACCTTGAAAAACTCCATGGAATCAGAGCAGGGATTATCCCAAGCACAGGAGGCTACCTGCAATATTTTCTTTACAATCCCATACATTTTTTTAAACCCTATCATTCCTGAATTTGTTTTAACTGATGCTTTTTGCAGCACTTTACTTTGACCGTTCCAGCACAGGAGAGATACAAACAATGCACGTGGTTATTGGAAACATCAAATCTAAGTTAATCAATATTGTTTTTCCAGCACAATTTTCCACCACATCAAGCATTCAGGAGGCCAAGTGCAGGTGTAGATGGCAAATGGCAGATGCTGTGTTCCACAAACCTCCTGTGCCACTTGCAAGACACCAAACTCTGTGATCTGCTGGCAGATGAACAGGAAGAGCTTTAAGGCTCTTTGGCTTCTGTTAAGGACATCTTTTTGATCCATTTTCCAGCCTCTGGGGCTGCTCCTGTCCCAGGAGACTGATAAAGGAGTTCATGAGCATAGAAGAAAGGAAAGACCGGAATATTCATGTGCTCCAAACTCCTGGGAACTTGCAAGAGGAGAGGAAAATCTGAGATACTTTCTCAGTAGGATTTCCTTACTAAGCAACATTTTTCTCTTGCGTGTAGACAACTGGTTCAAAGCAGCACCGACACCTCATGCCAGGCCCTGCTCTCCTTCCGCTCTGTCGTGGTGCAAACCATGAGCAGATGGTGCAGTGCAGTGGAAAATCAGATCTCCAAGAAAATACAGAGCTGAGAATAAAACAGCCCTCGAGGAGAAAGCTGCGTGGTTTATTTCAGGATAAGATGAAAAACTGAGATCCTTGGGCAAAAATTAGACTACTCCTTCAGAGTGGAGTATTCCACTTCTGTGAACTGCCTCGTTCCTTCCCGACTGAGGAAACATCCATCCCCTTCACAGCTGAGGGCTCATCTCGTTTGTTGTCTTTCAGTTCATTGATCTGGTTTCTCCAGGCTCCCACGTGACTGTTCTTTGCTGAACTAACAAGCGTGATTATCCCTGAATTTCCTCTCCTTTCGACTTTCTTGCACGCTGACGACAAACCTTTTCAGAATTCCTTCCCACTTCGGCTGCAGCCTGACCTGAATTGCTTCCATCTTTGTTTAAACCCGCTGGGGCATGAACATCCAGCCAAGATAGGTAAGGATGTAATGTCAAAACTTCCATTCTGGTTTTATGTTTGTGCATAAAGAGATAAAATGCCCCTGAAAATGTGAGTGTTTCTTCCATTAAAGCCTGATTTAGTGCATGTGGTCCCTTCACTTGGAGCCTTTAAAGTTCCTGACATGTCCCTGCCTCGCTGTGCCCTGTCCCCAAAATAAAAACTTTTAACTCTGCTCCAGCCAAATTCCAGCTCCTGACATTCCTCTGCTTGCACTGGAGTGCCAGGAGTGAGTACCAGGGAAACTCCTTGTGCTGGTTTGTGGTAAAGAACTGCTGGATTTGATCTCGGCTCGCTGCGTTTTCGTGACCTACATCCTGTTCATACGAGCTGGAAAAAATCATTGAGCAAATCTTGGTATCTAAGATTAAAACGGGATGATGTTTATTTATCTGGAGGAAAACAACAGGAGTGAAATATTGGCATTTCTCACAGAAATAGCTGCTCTGCCCTGATCCCTGATTTCTGCTTGCTTTTATCTGCAGCTGCATCCCTAACGTGTGCCTGTGGTGACCCCCCCTGTGTAATTCAGATTCCACCTGAAATCTGTGGAATTCTCCTTGATCCTTCTGACAAGGAACCAAACCCATTCCACAGGAGGGCACTGAAATGAGCCTTAGATGGATGTAAGACCCCATCATCATCATTATTTATGACAACTCCATGCACCAGACTTGCTGGGAAAAATCCAAGATTCAGCCAGTTACTGAAGCAACAAAGAGGATTCTGCTGCTCCAAAGACTTGCTACTTGTTGATGACTTGCCATCCAGCTTTTTTTTTTTTCCAAAGGGAAAATGAATGTGGAGGGTACTTGGAGTCAATTTTTGGTGGGGGATATGCAGTCACTGTCTCTGCTGGTATCAATGGCCCTTTCACTGTACTGGGCTTTACTGTACAGAGAACAAAACCAGTTTCCATGGCAGTGTAAATACAAATACGTCCCACACTCCAAAGAGTGACTCACACGTGCTGCAGAGAAGAGAGAAACTTCCCTGTCTTAATCCGAACACATCTGGGAGAGGAGGATGAGATTATCTCAGTTTGAAAGTATTCTATAAATATTGTGTAAACCGAGATTTGCTCTGAATAATTCCATGCCTTGGCAGAGCTGAAAGACAAATCCTTTGAAGGTAAAGGAATAAGACAAGGCCAGTGCCTGTTTGCAGTAGCAATGTTCAAATCTATAATGATTTTCTTCTTAAATATAGACACAACCTGACAGCTCTGGAAGCCGATACAAAATTCTCCATGAGCGGTTTATCTCACTCTTTCAGGGAGTTACAAGAAGAATTTAACTGTTGTAAATGAACAGTAGGTTCAGAATAAAAAGGAAGAGGTGGATAAAACTGTGGGGACTGCTTAGTACTGGTCCTAAATCCTGCTGTTGCAGGTGTGTTAACCTGAAATAGTCTGAGATAGTGAGACCCTGACCTTGAGTATCAGCAGCATCACCTCATGAATGTCTTAGAACATCATTTATCCAAAACTGATATCCAGATTTGGAGGAAAATGAGTCTGGGATGGAATTAAAATCAAATATGTGATGTGCACTTTGTAACGGGGAGGAAAAGGTGGTGGGCACTGTTTTGGAGGAATAGAACACACTCTTACTGTGTATGAGAGGAAGAGTTTTCCTTAGCAAGACTTTTCTAGGTCCCAAAACCTTGAGGTTTTTTTATGACCCCAAGCTAGAGAGTTTATATCCCTTCATAAGAACCTGTTATTTTCGTCATCCTCCCTCTCTGAAGGATGTCTCATCTGCTTCTTTTCCTAACCTAAATCCTTTCCCAGGATCTGTTCTGCCTGCAGAGTATTCAGATTAAATGTCAAGATTTCCAAAGGCTGCTCTGAGCAGGAATATTTCCTTTGGATCTTACTGCAGGCGAGAGCAAAGCCATGTCACGGCAAAACTGCAGATTCCTCTTGGCTGGGCTGACACGTGAACGTCGACAAGGGGAATTCAGAATCTGAGAGTCACTGAGGTAAAACAAGGCCTGAAGGGTGAGGATTGCTATTTATACAGCGACCCACGGCACAGCACACAACTTACAGAGAGCTTACAACAAAGTTAGGAGCAGTGGCAGTTGAGCTTTACTACGGGAACCAGGGTTAAAACAAAACCTTCCATGAGACCAACTGATAGAGCTGCAGGAGCCTGACCTAAATCTGACACAGCCCCCCTCAGTCAGGGCCAAAACCAAAGGGAGAGGGACAATAAATCTGTCAGTCGTGGTGTCAAAGGGTGTCTCAGCCCACAGACAGTGAGACACTTTGGAGTCTGTCCGAACTGAGCATCTGAAGGCAAATTAAATAACTACAAACAGCAGCGTCTTTCTGGATGAAGGTGAAGCGTCTGAATGTCTCATTAATGCACCACAGAGAGCAATGTCTGTCTCTAAATCACCTCGGTTGTACTGCAACGTGCAGGAAACCTCGGGGGGAGGGAGAAAAGGAATAAGTGAGAAAAATAAAAGAGGGGAAGCAGTTCCTGGCGATGGCTCTTGGGGGCTGGTTTGTCACCTCTTTGCTGCCCTTCCCCCCTGGGAACAGTCACTTCTGACTGCTCTTCGCTGTCTGTTCAAATCACATCAATTCAAAAGGGTTATGAGAGGCTGTATTTAATCAAACGTTTGTTATGTCCAGGTGTCTTTGTCTGTCTCCTTTCCCAGATTTATCCAGAGATAATTGTGTTGGAGGCTCGTATCCCCTTGAGGACCAATGAGAATATCCACTTAAAAAATTAAAAAATAATTGGAACTAACAGAATGCCTGTAGATCTGTGTCCTGTTCCTTCCATCCTGGTCTGTCCCCACTTGGTGGAGGTGAACTCTCCAAACTGGAATCATTCCTTCTCCAAGAGTGGGGCCCCGCTCTTGCTCTGTTCTCGGATATTCACAGGAAAAATACCATAATACTAAAAATTAACAACTGAATAGGATCTGACAGACTTTTCTCCCCCATCAGGAACATAAACACGAGGAATTTCAAAGGCGTGACCATGCCTGTGACGCACCAAAAGCCATTAAAATTCATTTTTAGGCTGCCTGGCACTGTAAGAAGAATGACACAGTGTATGTGCTCGGACAGTAGAAGCCACTGTGGAGATTTTTTTTCAAACCCTGTTGCAATGAATGGCAGCTGCAATAATGGAAGCTACAATGAAAAGTTGATATTCATCATAACGAAAGTTGATATGCATAAAACCCACCCACCATTTAAAATAAGTGGTCTGCAGAGAGTAGTAAGTAATCGCATGTGGAGTTTAACACTTTTGGCCTGGCCATTTGTGGTGTAATGAGTGTTTTAAGGTTGCTCAAAAGCGAGGGGGTGATGTACCACCACACCAGGGAGCTCCATACTATTCATTTTTGTGCCATCCTGGCTTTTAAAGCTTGTTTCCCTGCGCTTCTCCTCAGGGAAGCGGCCACATCCCCAAGGCTGCCGGAGCTCAAGGAGCGCTTGGACAACGCTCCGAGGCGCGGGGCGTGATTTTGGGCGTGCCATGTGCGCGGCCGCGAGTCGGACTGGACGATGCTTGTGCATCCCCCTTCCAGCTCAGGATATTCCGTGATTACAGGTGTGCTCGGACGGGACAGTTCGCACGTATTGAGGGATAGTTCGTGATTAAACCAGCCCCGCGCTCGCTCTGAGGCGGCGCCGCCATCTTCGACCCCCCCCCCCCTTCCCTTCCCCTCACGGAGCCCGCGCGGCGCCCCCTGGCGGCGCTGGGCGGAGCAGCGAGACGGAGCGCGGGAATAAAGGCACATCTCGCGATATTTCCCCCTCCCGCGCTGTCCTCACCCTCCCCCAAGATGGCGGCGCCCACGGAGCCGCCGCCGCCTCAGGGCCGGTTCCGCACCCGGGACGTGCTGGTGCCCGGCGGCCCCTCCGATTTCGGCTCCCTCCTGCTGTCCCCGCCGGTGCTGGCGGGGCTGGAGGCGGCCGGCTTCCTCCGGCCGTCGCCGGTGCAGCTGAAGGCCATCCCGCTGGGGCGCTGCGGGCTGGGTGAGCGGGCGGGCCGGGCGGGCGCGGGGCTTGAGGGGGCAAACCAGAACCAGCCCGGAGGGTCTTCCCCTGACCTCTGTGGGGGCTCTTTGCAGATCTCATCGTTCAGGCCAAGTCCGGCACCGGCAAAACGTGCGTGTTCGCCACCATCGCCCTGGACGCGGTGCTGCTGGAGAGCCCCGCCACGCAGGTGAGCCCCCGGTCCGCTCTGCGACAGAAAAACCCTCTTTTTTTTGAGAAAAAAGGGCGTTGAAGCCCTTGAGGCACAGCGCTTTAAATCTAAGTTTAAAGCCCCTAAAAAGGGCTTTTGTTGTCGGAGCCACCTTGCGGCTCTCAGCGTTTAATCCTCGCCCCTCGCAGATCCTGGTCCTGGCGCCCACCAGGGAGATCGCGGTGCAGATCCACGCCGTGATCACGACTATCGCGATAAAAATGGAAGGCTTGGAGTGCCACGTGTTCATCGGGGGGACCCCTCTGAGCCAGGACAAGAGCAGGCTGAGGAAGTGTCACATCGCTGTTGGCTCCCCGGGTAGGGATGAAGCTTCGTTGTGGTTCAGGCCCTGTGTGATAATTGGACATAATTGGGGTATCCTGATATCTGGGTGGTGGGTTTTTTTGGTGGGACTGCATGATTTTTAAGGTCCCTTCCATCCCAAACCGTTTTATTCTGCGTCTCTGTGATTATTCCAAATATGCCCTTTGTTAAGTCTTACTAAAATGCTCTTTAAAAGAAGCTTTAAAAGTTTGTCATTCGAACCTTTCAGTTCACTCTTTTGAAGTTCTTTTCCCTCTTTTCCTCACGGGCAGGTCGAATCAAACAGCTCATAGAGCTGGACTACCTGAACACAGCCAGTATCAGGCTCTTTGTCCTGGATGAGGCAGACAAGCTCCTGGAGGAAGGCAGCTTCCAGGAGCAAATCAAGTATGGAAAAACACTCATCTCACGCATTTCTCAGTAGATTAGACGGGGTTTTGTTTAATTATTCCCACGTTTGTGTCTCCCAGCTGGATTTACTCCTCACTCCCAGCCAATAAGCAGATGCTGGCTGTGTCAGCTACTTACCCCGAGTCCTTGGCTCGTGCTCTGACCAGGTACATGAGGGAGCCAACCTTTGTGAGGCTGAACCCCACTGATCCAAGCCTCCTGGGTGAGTAAATACCCAGTTATAGGGATATTGTTGCCAATAGATGAAGAGGAATGTACCAAACCCAAAATATGTACCTTTAAAAGTCACGATTTTTCATAATTTCACTCCACAGCTGAGTTGTTTAGTTATAAAATATTGATTCCAGGTGAACCTTCTAGTGGAAGGTGTCCACTAGACCATGGAATGAGATGGTTTTTAAAGTCCTTTCCCACCCAAACCATCCCCTGATTCTGTGTATTTAAAACATCAGTGACAAATGTAACTCTCTGGGTTTTTTATCCATTCAAGAAATATTTCAATTTTTATAGAAAAACCTCTCCTGGTGGTTCTTATTTGGCACCTGTGTGTGTTTGAAGTGGAATTTTTTCCTTCAGCTGCAGTGACACAGTTTACATAGCACTGTACATGTTTTTATGGCAACCCTTAATCTGTTTTTGGGTTTCCTTCTCAGGGCTGAAGCAGTACTACAAAATTGTGAATTCCCATCCACTTCCACATAAAACATTTGAGGAAAAAACCCAGCACCTGCAGGAGTTGTTCAGCAAGATTCCATTCAATCAAGCCTTGGTCTTCTCCAATTTGCACAGCAGGTGATAAATGTGAAATAAAATCTGTAAAAAGCTTGTTTGAAAGCAGTGCTTGTAATGTCCAGTCAGGGCTAAATTTATGGATAAATTTATGGATATGGATAAGTTTATGGATAAATTTAGGAGACCTGTAAGGTCTCAGAGCAGTCTGCAGATTTCAGATCTGAAACACAGCCTGAGGAATGCAGTTTTATTCCCAATTTTCCTTGTCTGTATTCCATCAGGGCTCAACATCTGGCTGAAATCCTGACATCCAGAGGCTTCCCTGCTGAGTGCATTTCAGGTGAGTCCATTCACAACTTCTGATGAATCTCTTCTATTCTGTTCTATTGAAATTGTGCATAAATGCAGCCTAAAATAGGAAAATTAATCTTAAATCGTGGTTAGGGTGGCCTCTGATTAAATAACTGAGAATAGCATTTGAATCTTCATAAGTCTCTTGAGACTTAATGTAAAAATTAATATTTAGCTTCCCTGTTTTCACATTTTTTGAGAGTCATTTTTATGAATGCATTGCCTTATTTGCAGGTTGAAGCTGGATTTCTTTGGGATGCAGGTGTTGAATTTAAATCTCTATTTCAGTTCTCTATAAAAGCTGAAAGCTGGCACCTGCTGCGTATTAGAAACCTTGAATTTTTACTTCAGCTTCCATGGCTTATGTGTTTAAAATCCATCTAAAATCAGTGTTGTTTTAATGGGTTAAACATCTGCATAACTGGCTCCTATTTAAAAGCAATAGAATTATTTTTTGTAATGAATTACCTTAATTTTCAAGTTTTGTTTGTTCCTTGTTTACTTATTTGGAACTGCTGTTTGAGGAAGTTTTCTCTAACTTACTTCTAATGATACAAAGTGGGTTTTTTTCTGGAAGGTGAGGGGCATAAAGCTGAAGAATGTACTTTATTTCTAATTTTTATCTTTCCAGGCAACATGAATCAAAACCAACGACTTGATGCTATGGCCAAATTAAAGCAGTTCCACTGTCGAGTCCTGATCTCCACAGACTTGGTGAGTTTTTACTGCTTTTGAACAAGCTTTTGACAGGTTTTATTTCAGATTTACTACCTGCTATGCAGATTTTACAGCACACAGGGCTATTGCACATAAAGTTATTCAGGGAATTAGATTTGACTTGGAATTGAACATGAATGTGCTGATCAAGCACATTGAGACTCTGTGACTTATTTTCACTGTGAACTTGAAAATTGCCTCCTATTCCTCATCTGCCTGCCCATGGCAGGGTGTTGGGTTGAGATGACCTTTAAGATCTCATCCAACACAAACCAGTCTGTGATTTGGGTCATAAATTAATTATCCCTTACTTTGTTGATGCTTTAAAGTTAAGGGACTTTAGAATTGTTTCCTTTGCATGGGAGCTGTGAGGAGGAAGAGCTTGTTTCTCTAGTACCAAAGTGACTTTGCAAACAGCTAAACAGAGCAGTGGTTGTGTTTGAGACACTCTCAGCTCCTCATTGTTGAGGAATTTTGTTATTTGGTTGATGGTTTGAGGTGTCCCCGTGTTGTCAGGTTGGACTTTTTGCTGCTAGGGGAAAAAAATTCATGCTGGCTTGTATTTGATATGTGGAAGGTAGGAGGAAAATGATGCCTGGTTTTTATGTCCCAAAGCAACGTGCCTGTTTTACCTGTAATACTGTCAAATGGTTGGAAAATTGTAGGTGCTTTATGGTGTATTACAACAGTGAAAAGTTATCATCTGATAACTGATATCATCTGGTCCCTTCCAGCCTCACCCTGTGATTCTGTGTTTATTTCAAGCTCTGTTCAGCACATCCAGGTCTCACTCCCCTTCTCTCCTTCCCGTTTTCTGCAGACATCTCGTGGCATTGATGCTGAGAAAGTGAACCTGGTTGTCAACCTGGACGTCCCTGTGGACTGGGAGACCTACATGCATCGGATTGGCAGGGCTGGGCGCTTTGGTAAGAGCCAAATCCATGGATTTTCGGCGCTTTCCCTTTCTTTGCTGCCTCTGTTTGGTGATTAATTAATTCTTTTGTGTGTCACAGGCACTCTGGGTTTGTCTGTGACCTACTGCTGCCGTGGGGAGGAGGAGAACACGATGATGAAAATCGCTCAGAAGTGTAATCTGCAGCTCCTTCCTCTGCCAGGTGTGCTCTGGGCTTGGGATGCAGCTGGGGTTTGGTTGTTCTCTGCTATTCAGAGCTTCAGACAAGTCCCCAGGGAGCTGATTTGTGGCTTCTCTGCTGGAGCTGCATTGCTTTCAGTCCAGGTTCTTCATACTCTCTGCTGATGACTCCTTGTGGAGCTGCTGCAGTTGTGTGGAGCAGTGAAAATGGACTGAGATTTCCAAAAATCTGTTATTAAACCTTTCTCAAGTTGGAATATACAGTAGAGTGAGGAAGGAGTAATTAAAACAGCAGAATTCCAAGAATTGAAGGGGTTGGTTTGTAACCATAATTCAATATTTTACCCTGCAATTTTGCAGAGCTTTATTTGGGTATTCATTCGAGTTCTAGGGGGAAGGATGGACTTAATTAAGTGCCTGCTTGTTTCCCTTCTGTGCAGAGCCAATACCTCCTGGAATGATGGATCAGTTTGAGGATGGGGAGGTGGAAGTTAAACCTGCTGTGCTTCCAGGACCTTTGGTGATTGTGATACTGTGTCAAAACCAGAGGAACCAGTGCTGCAGCCTGTCCAGAATGGTTTTCCAGAGGCACCTCAGCCTCTCTCCAGTCTTCCAAGGGATAATTCTCCTGCAGAAAGGCCAAAAAAGTCTCAGAAGCAAAAGCAGATAAAAAAGTCCACAAATCCTGCAAATAAAAATAGGAGGACCCCCAAACTTCCAGTTGTCACACAGAGCAGAGGAATCCAGTGAAAACTGTTTCCAGGACAGATGGACACCACAACACTCAGGCTCCAGATGAAGAGGCCTTGAAAAAAAACCTTCCCAAAATTCCGTGCTTGTCTTCCTTCAAACACCAGCTCAACAATCCCTGGAGCTTCTCAGATTTTGTTGAGGACTATGAATATTTCATCAAAGAAGGGTCTGAGAGACAGGTGGAAATTTTAAGGAGCTATTCAGGCCCAGCAGAGCAACGTGAGCTCCCCAGGAATGGGGATGTGGAGTGGGAAGAGATGGGACATCACACAGGGACAGCAGCAAACGGTGACATTTCTGGTGACAGTGATGGTTCAGACACTTCCAGGGATTCCTTCAGTAGTGGGGAGGATAATTCATGCTTTGAAGCATTTTCCAGGACTACTTCTAATGGCAGGGAGAACAACTCATGCTTTGAAGCATTTTCCAGGACTACTTCTAATGGCAGGGAGAACAACTCATGCTTTGAAGCATTTTCCAGGGCTTCCTCTAATAGCAGGGAGAACAACTCATGCTTTGAAGGATTTTCAGACACACAGGAGAAAAATGCTGTCCCCAAAAGGCATCAGGGTCGTTCAGGCTTCTGTCCTACACCAGAGAAGCCTCAGGAGCCATCACAGGTCCCAAAGCAAAAGGAAGGGAAAAAGAAAGTTCTGAAACAAAATGCTAAACAAAAGAAAAGCCACAACCATCAGTTCTCTGGTTCTTCCACGAGGAAAACTGAAGAGGACTGGACCTGCAGCTCCTGGGATGATGCTCCATCTGAGGCCTGGAGTTATGAGGACTATTGGAAATGTTATCATGAGGCTTGGCAGAGCTACTATGCAGCAGTGTCTCACTACAGGGAGAGTTACAGGCAGTTCAGCTGGATGAGGGCCTACCATGTGAACTCTGTGTATCTCCAGGAGCTCCTGAAAAATGGGGATTGATGCCCTGGGACCTGCAGATGGATATGATCCGTGAAAACTGTGCTGGTCTGAAGGACATGGACAGACAGACATGGCTGGGGATCGAAGAAAAATGTTGTCTTTTTATAAGCAGTTGTATTTTGGTAAATGTTTCACATGACTACAGTGATGGTGTTACAAGTTGTTAATAAAAGGAGAAGAAAGGCAGCTGGATGCTCTGTTTTAATCTTTACAATCCAAAGTAAACAAAGGATGGTCAAAGTGAAGAGAAATTCCCTGTGAATTCCCTGTGACTCCATAGTCTGTTTATAGTTGGTGATCATTCCATATTCCATAATTCTCTTGGTAAACAGGCACTGATTATATCTTGGTTAAGTGACAGAATGAAACATGCATCTCAATGCCTGTATTGCTAATTTAAATCCAGTTAATTACCACTGTATAAATAACATTCTATAGCAAGGTGTGCAGCCCAAGCTGTGAGGGAGAGGATGGTTTAATTATGGAGGGAAAGTGCAGCAATCATAATTGTTCTGTCCCTCTGGGTGCAACAATATCAAACTTGCCACACTTACAGGAAAGCTTTAATTAGAACTGAAATTACCTATTAGTGCTAAAACTAATTGATGTTTCCTGTTTGGCTTGCAGTGCTCTGTCCTGAAGCAGGAAAAGATGGGAATGCTGGCTGGCTTAGGGTGCTGACCCTGGGCTGACTCTGCACTGATTTTGAAGCTTCATCTTCTAGCTTTTAGTGTGTTTGGGATCATTAGACATTTTTTTCAGCAACTTTCCTTGATTTCCCAGTGTTCCCCAGAGCACCCACAGCCTGCTTTTGGTGGTTTTCTTTTCCTTGTGCAGAGTTAGGCTGGAATTTTCTTAGTAGTGCATCCTACCTACGAGCTGCCCTTCCCAGGAGAGTTGCTGCTTTAATTTGGGTGTCTCCAGAGGTGTTGAATTCCTCACCTTCAGCCACTTTCATTTTGAGGAACACACAGTTTTCCCTCAGGTCACACAATCCACTTGTCTGAGCGTTCCTGACACTCTTTTACAAAATTCCCCGTGCAAATCCTGTGCTGTCCCTGGGCTTTCTGACCTTTTACTGTGGGGGTGGTGGCTCTAAACTTTAACCTGTGTGACCCAGACTGGTTTTTCAGAGTGCAGGAGGATTCTAACACTGATTTAGCTCAGGAATGTTGTGGGAATGTAGCCCAGGACGAGCTCTGGGGCTGCTCTGTGCTGGGACAGTGAGGGCTCCTAGTGGGACCTGACCTTTACTGCAAGTGTGTGTAAGCTGTTAGGAGTCACCTAATAAGTGACCAGCTCACTGTTTTCATTAATGGTTGCTTAAACAACAGCTATTAGTGTTTAAATGCAACTTGACTTAGTTGAACACCCAAAGTTCTCTGGAAAAACCTCCCAGGATTTGTTTTTGGTTTGGTTTGGTTTGTTTGTTTTGTTTTTCAGAAGAAATCTCCAGCATCATGTTGGTATTTGTGGCACATACTCTGTTTAATCCGGATTGGATACATCAGGTACAGCAGTGGCACAAGACTCAATACTGTAAATGATATACAAGTTTCAACATATGCACTACAATTCCAAAAGAAGACAACAGGAAACTTGGTTCTTCTAGAAAGTTGTTCTCAAATGAAGCTACCTGCAGTTGTGTACAGTACAGCTCGGATCTGTCCTCTGTAAGCAAAGCCCATCCAGAGTATGAAAATAGAAAAGAATAAAGGTTGAGAGCTTCTTAGAACATAAAACTCCTAAAGAAAAACACCACTGGAATGCCATACTGGTATTTATCAAAAAAGAGACCATCACACCAGCGTGGAAGATGCTCCACTGGCCCAAGGTGGGAGCTCCCAGTTGTAGTGGCACCAGAAGGGAGAGGAGCCCTCAGTGGGGGTGGTCCCTTCCCCCCAGACAGCTGGGACTCCTGGACTAGCACTAATTTAACCCAAAAGGGAAAGGGACACGTGCACACGGATACACACAAAGGAACAGACCTGACTGAGAACACAGGAAGGGGCTTTTTCACAAGCTCTTTGTCACCTGGTCTTTTTTTTCCCCCGTTCCACCTAAAGCCTTTCTGGCACAGGTTTTGCTTCCTGAACACAAGCAGCACTTCTGGGGCGCTGGCTCCAGAATTCATTCCCATGTGGGGTTTTTGGGGGGGCTCCACTTATTGCAAGAGGAGGGGGGGTTGATTTCCCTACAGGTTGGATAATTGGCAGAGAGGTGAAGTGACTTTTTCGGGGTCTCTTCAGTGGTTCAGCAGGTCAATCAGGAGCAGAACTGCTGATGCTCTGTCTCCTGGCTCTGATCCACGTGCTCCCTGCCTTCCCTTTGCTCTTACAGTTTTTGAAGGATAAAACCATTAAGAGTGTTTATGTCAAGTGGGAAGCCTAAAAACCTGGGCTTTAAAGCCATAGATCTGCTGCAGTTGGCTCAAAGTGTTGGAGAAAAAGAAGTGGTTTAAAAGAAACTTAGTTAAGATAGACTAGATGGGTAAATTATGTGGAAAATTCACCTCAATTCAAAAGCAGAATGAAGTTTTCAGTTCAAAGCTGCTGATGTTCACAGCCATCCATTGTAACTCTGCATTTAAGTCCAACACAGAAAAACATGACAGGGTCCCAAGGGATGTTTCAGCACATGAATGAAACATGATTTGGAATTTACTGCATTTTCTTTTTACAATGCATGTAAGATACAAAATGTTTGCAACCTCTTTACCTAAAGAAGCAAAATATTTGAAGAAACTTTGCTTTCTTTAGCTGGTATTAATCTGATTTTCATGTGCACACCGTAAGCTGCCTAAACTAGAATGATAAATGCTGGGTTGCAGTTTATTATCAACAGTTTTAGGTTAAACAAGTGGCACTGATTAAATTTAGGCTTTCTGGCCAATTAAAGAAGGATGTATTTTGAATTATCCATTAACTTTATTCCACACTGAGGCCATGTGTGTTATTTAGGTTATCTTTCCCCTGAAACTTCTAACAATGGTAATTATTTAAAGGATAAAAGTAGTCTCTGGGAGAAGAATTTGCTGTAGAAAGTTTTATATTCCTCTTGTGGAAAGGAGAATAATTTAAATGGTGCAAGGGAGTATAAATGGCAGCAAGAGAGGAGAAAATAAGGAGAGAATTATGGCTGAACAGCTGGAGAAAAATCCTTGGCATTGAGGGCTATCACTCCAGAATAAGCTCCCTGGGGAAGTAGAGGAAGTCCTTGGGGAATTTTAAATCTAATCCAATCTAAATCTAAAAATAGTAGTGCCATATATCACAGTGAAGGACCCTGTGCTAGCAGAGGATAGATTAAATTTTATAATCCTTGAATTTTTGTGTGCCAAGATGTGTTATCTGTGGCCTCTTCTTTATGGGTGTCCTTAAGATTTTTAAGGAAAATGAAAGTAAAAGGTGGATTTTGGACAGAGGAGATGGAAGTCAAAGCCTACATGGGAAAGGTATTTCTCATCGTTCTCTGCCTGTTGGGTGTGACTCCTTTTTGCAGCCCAGTCCCAGGTGGGTAGAGAGGAATTCTACTGACAGAATGTGCTGAAAGTCCATGAAAATATTTGTTTTCCCTTTGAAAAAAACTTTGGAAAGGAAAGAAAATGCTCAGCAAATTTTGATATTTTTGATATTGCTCTAGGAAAGCCTGAAAAAATATAACTCCCTTCCCGTTGCCTTTTGTGCAAAGAATCCATTTTTATCCTTTTTTTTTTCCCTTTTTCTTTTTTTTAAAGATGTTTTCTATAAAAAGCAAGGAATGAGGGGAGAGGGAAAGGCTTGGACATGATCTGCCAACACACTCCTGGTGGACAGTCTGGCCAGCTGGGTTGTTTTCTAGAACCTGCCTGTTTTCCTGCATTGCTTCTCCACTCAGAGGGAGCCCACACCTGGAGAAGCCCCTTTCCATGCCTCAGGAATGACCAGGAATGCTGGGGTAGGTGCTGGTTTTTGGTTTGGGATCGATGGACGTGCCTGGCCCTGGAACAGGGAGGGAGATGCTGGTAAGGCTGGGCAGAACTGGGGCTGCTGGGGACAACAATCCACACCCTCCAGGAAAAGTCCTGGCTGAGGAATATTCGGGATTGGCTTGGCCTTATCTCAGCCATGGTTTATAAGTTGCTATCTGAAGATTGGGAAGATCTCTGTGGTTTAGGGAGGCTGATTTGCCTCCCTTTATTGTGGGAATCAGTGGCCGCAGGGCCATTCCCGGGCTTTGCTCTGCCGAGGTTTTTCCCTTTATCCCTGTTTTCCTTCCAGGGATGCTCAGTTACGCCCTTCCATCTGCATCCCTGTCCCTGGTCTCCCCACAAGGATGTGGCTGTTTTGGGGCAGTGCAGGGAGGGGTTTTACAGCACATTTCCAAGTGCTCTGGGAAGCCTCACTCGGGCGGCTTCAGTTCCGGGGATAAGGGGAGCTGTTGCCTCCACTGAAAATATCTTTAGCCCTGTTCCTCTAGGTCAGACTCCCCTCATTTTGCCTGGTTTTAGGCTCTGAGAGTCTGTGCTGAGGAACTGGCTGTGTGGGGCAGCACCTGCTCCGTTCATGGCAGGAGAGGCAAACCACGGATTTCTGAGCAGGGATAACAATTCCTCTTCCATGGGAGAGAGCAGAGGCCGTGGCTGCCTTGACAAGCTGAGCCCAGGCAGCCACCCAGAAACCCCTAGGGCTGGCTTTCCTCCTTACTTTTAATTTCTCCCCTTAAAAATGTTGGATTTTATATTATTTTTTCCTCCAAAGGCCTTTTGATGGATAGCAATTAAAAGCATCAGGAGTGCTCTGGCCGAGGGCTGCTACAATGGTTATTTACAGATAAAGAGACGGGTGCAGAGAGATGATAAATCCATGATAAATTAGGAATAAGAAAGGCAGCACCAAGAAGCCACGTTGAATCCCTGATTCTCTGTGATTTTTTCATTCCTGTCAGCACATTTCACCCTCACTCTGTGCCAGTGTAAATGAGGCTGCAAGGTGGGAGGGAGGTTGGTGGAGAGCAAGGCCTCTGATCTACAAGGGTGAGGGTGTTCAGACAGGGAGCAGATGATGACAGTTAATGGAATTAAAGCAAAGATTAAATTAAAACATCGAGAAAAAAACCCTCAATAATGGTAAGATTAACTGCAGCACAACCTCCTACAGGAAGCAGCAAAAGGCAGAGCGTTTTAATCATTAAAAACAGGGCTAAACATAGTTTTGGGGTAACATATTGCAGCACTGGGATAAATGAGTAGAAGCTGGAGGCTTAGCCATGGTTCCAGTATTCCTGGGATGTTGTAGGATTCTAAGGAGGGCATTGGGTTAATGCATCAGCCATCAAGTCCACTCTCCAGACAAGCAGCAGTGCTACCAAAGCAGGTTGTCAGCTCCTATGTGTAAGTCAGCAAGGGAGGTCTATTAATTATCTATACATGTGTGTGTGTGTGTGGTTATTTATGTGTGGAGGTGTATGTGGCTATTAATATTACATCAGGATAGGTTGGGGCAGGTGTTAAAGAAAAAGGTCATCCCTTTGCTGAATCAGCCTCAGACGTGCTTTGAGTTGTTGTTTTAACTGTGGTGGTGGTGAAATCCCTGCTCAGAACAGGACACTGGTTGTCTTTCCTTGTTCCCTACAAGCTGCTGGGGAGGAGGGGGGTGGTGCATCCCCTTTTGTGGGGTCACTGAAGAGGTTTGTGCATGACCAGGGGAATCAAACGAGTGGGAAGGCAGGTGATGATGTTCCTCACTCTGCCCTTCCTGGATCACACCTGTAAGAGGGGATCCCCTGGAAATGGGAGGAAAAAATTGCTCATACAGGAGGGGCAAAACCAGTTGCTTTTCAGGTCTGTGTGTTCTCTCACAATAAATCATTCCTAGGAGGATCTCAGGGGGTAGGACTGGCCACAGCTTGGTCAGCAGTGGGAGCTGCTTGGCAGTACCAGCCGGTGTTCTTCAGTTTTTGGTTGATTTAGAAGTACAGGAGTAGACTTTTCCCAAACTGAGTGTAGGGCTCTGAAAAGAAAATGCTGTCTGTGCCAGATGTTATTAGATGTTTTCCCCACTCCAGTACTGCTCCCCCTTCTCAAGCAGATCCTGTGCTGGGCCTGGAGAACTAAAATTGCTCATCTAGTCTATCCCCAAAATCAACGCAACCCAGAAGCCACTGATGAGACAACTGGAGCCCTAAGACTGTGAAAAAGCCAAATACCTCTCTGTCCATGCAAGATATTTGGCTCTGGGGTTAATTGTTATCAAGTATAAATCCAGACATTATTTGGCTACTATTTACAATGGGTTGGACGTCCAGTGCTAGCAAAGGAATTTCTACATAGAAACCAAAACTTAAAAAGCATGGGCATACATTACAAGAAACCTCTGTTAGACTTATGAATGCTCGATGCAGTTGAGTTCAGTGCTTCCATTCTTTGCCATTTGTGTGTACAGTATTAAAAAAGAATCCTACCTTTTTTTTTTTTTTAAATCCTTTTTAAAAATACAGAACCGTAGTCTAGTCACACTCTTACAAGTAAGTGATAACAAAAATAGAAAGCAGATACCCATGTGGGACTAAAACTCTACTAAAGCCTGTCTTTTTTTTTTTTGTTTGTTTGTTCTGTTTTCTTTTTTTTTGTTTGTTTCTTTGTTGTTTGTTTAGTTTTTCTCCACAAATATGTTTTCACAGACAATAAGTAGCAGACAAACACACTGTTTGCAATTGCACTGTATTGACTTAAAAGGCGGGTACAAAATTGTCTAAATAAAGAAATGCCATCCAAGGTGAGAGAGGGGTGTGTGTGTGTGGGTGTGTGTGTGCTGACACATGCTTGTGTTTCCCAATCATGGGAACGTGCTCTGCCCTTTGGAATTCAGTGTTTTCCTGCTGCACACTCACACACACACACACACAGAGGGATGGAGAGAGATCTCTGTGACAGGTGGCTTCTTTTGCCTAAATCTTTTCCTATAAAAGAAAAGAAAAAAAAAAAAAAAGAAAAACGAGAAATGTGAAATTTTGGTTGGTTTAAAGGTTCTGCTCCATGAAGAAGAAACAAACGAACGAGGAAAAAAAAAAAAAAAGAATAATTCACAAAATCCATTGTTTTTCACCTTTTCAGTCATTTCCTCATGAATAAATATTATCCATTTAAAAACCTTTAAAAAGGTGCTGCGATACACAGTGTTATATTTCCGTTTGCTTTATTGACTCTCTCGTTGCCACGACGGTTCTTTCCCCTCCAGCGCCTCCTCCACAGGTTGGTTTGTTTTTCTTTTTTTTTGCCCGGTTTTACCGCGGCACAAACACGCTCTCCAGGCGGTTTTTTTGTTTGTTTTTTTTTCTTTTTTTTTTCCTCCGACCACCCTCTTTCCTCTCCTTCCTCAGTCCCTGTCCGAAGGGAGCTGCCTCCGTGGGATCTCCACCGGGAATCCGCTCACACAACGTCGGGGCTGGTCCATCCAGGCACAAATTGCAGCAAGAAAGGAGCGCGGAGGGGTGGAGGGCGAGGGGGCCGCTGGTCTTCCAGCCTCCTCCTGACACCGTCTTACAAGGCAGAGACCTTGACGATGTTGGCCGTGGTGGTGGTGGTGGTGGTGGGAATGTTCGTGGAGTGCCCGGGGCTGCCGGGGCTGGGTCTGCTCTCGCCCTCGGGCGTGAGGGCGGGCGGGGTGGGGATGCTGATGATGGCTGTGGTGATCTGGGCAGCTTTGCAGTTCGGTCTCAGCCCGTCGTCTGACTTCATGTTGAGGCTGGAACGACTAGAAAACAAATTTAGTGCTTGGCTTGGTTTGTTTCTTTTTGGTTTGCTTTGTTTTGTTTTCTTTTTTTGACACCAGATTGCTGCGAAGGGGTGAAATATCCTGAAATATTCAGAAGACTCCGCCGAAACGGTCCCTCCCCACCCCGCTCCTGCAAGAAATCGTTTGTGTCTGCCCGGATGACACTAAGCTTTGGTAATATCCCCCTCGGTTAGGAAACAGCTTTCCACAGGGCAAATTGCTCTGTTTCCATTTCCTTCTTGCATAATTGTAGTTTATTTAAGAGGACATCTAAATACACTGCCCCGTGTACTGCATCTTTTCAGAGCACAGGTAGTTCTTTCTGAGGAAGATGTTGTCTTCCTTGCATTTCAAATACCTCTTTCAAATTCACTGTCCCTTGATCTTTTCTATTTTTTTTTTCCCCCTCCTCTCTCTGCAGTAGTCTCAAGGATCTGGCAGCTGGGAGCATTCTTATTAGATCTGCATCAATTGCATCCTATAATTAATTACAGCGGGAAAATGATAGGTTGGTTTCTGTGCATCTGCACAGCTACAGGAGTCTGCTATTACCAACCCAACATGTTCATTTTAAACACAAGGTCTGTCCTTGCCGAGTGTAAAGCTCCCAGTTGGAAAGCTCTGGCTGTTGTTATCTCAGACTGACTCACCCAGGGGACGGGTTTTTGATCTCTCAAGGATCCCAAGAACAGCAGAACTCATTCTGCCCCCTCGATGCCTCGGGCACAAGGTGAGAGTGGGGCAGTTTTAGGGCCTGGGTGGTTGTGCCAGTGGTAACCAGTACCCCCAGTTAGTTGCATTCCACATGAAAAACAAAACCTTTTTTTTTCCTCTCTCTCTCTCTCTCCATTCTTCCACAGTTTGGTAAGCAAGTGAAATAAGTGTTGACATTTAAAAATATCACAGGCATCTGATTTAGCACCCACTGAAATAGGCAGAATAGTTGACATTCCACGAAATTACTGCTTCAGGTGCTGGTTTAAAATATTGTCATACTGCAAGTGAAATAGCTGGAGACTTGTTTTGTGCTTATTCATTCATAATTCATGCTCTGAAATGCCCTTCTGGCACAAAGTAATCGCTTGCTGCCCTCAAGGCAGCTTTGTTTCAGTTTCTACATCCCTTGGATAGAAGTGGGGAGAAGAAGAATGGGAAGTTCAAAACCAGCCCCAGTGCACAAGAAACTTAATGGGCTGAGGGGGATTTAGAAAGTAATTTAATGTTTGCAAGAATGTTACGGTGAATAAATGATTTTTTCCCAGCAAGTTATGCATAAAATGGAATTTTCAAAGTTTTCCGTTCAGGGACAATTCACCTGTGTCATTTATGGCTTTTTAGGTGGGGGCTACTAAGACAGCACTGTGAAATTCCTCCTTATTTGTTTCCCAGTGATGCTTAGAGTTGCAATTTAGACTGTTGGACAATGAAAATCAGTGGAGTGAGTGTCCCTGGGGGGCCACGTCAGTGTGTGCAGCTCCCTAACAGCGTTTGCTGACAGGCACTATTAGCCCATTGGTTTTGCCTGCTCCCAGGAAAGGTTTGGAAGTGCTAGGCCATCTGGGAGGTGGGCTGGGAGGTGGTCCTGGGGCGGATTTGGAGCTGCTCCTGCCTGTGCCATGAGAACTCCCTGGGCAGGTGTCACTTGGAATTCATACTTCTGTATCCAATCTGGCCAGAGAAGGATCACAGAATATCCTGAGCTGGAAAGGACCCACAAGGACTGAGTCCAACTCCTGGCCCTGCGAAGGACCAAAATCCCACCCGGTCCCTGGGAGTGTTGTCCAAACCCTCCTGGAGCTCTGGCAGCCTTGGGGCTGTGCCCACTGCCCTGGGGAGCCTGTTCAGTGCCCAACCACCCTCTGGGGAAAGAACCTTCTCCTAACATCCAGCCCAAGAGCTGCACTGGAGTCTGGCTTGGACCTGGTTCTTCCCGGAGCAGCTTGGAGCCATTCATCACTAGAAGGGGGGAACCGAAAACGCTGCCAGCACCACCCCCTTCCCCCTGGCTGGAGAAGAGTCCTGCAGGTGGATGATGCCCCTGTACCTGGTGGTGAGGGAGGGCTGCTCGCTGCACTGGATGTGGATGGTGCTGAGCTCCTGCATGCTCCGCAGGCGCGTGGCCGGGACGCTGGAGTTGGGCAGGTGAGTGGTCTTCTTGTTGCGGCGGGAGCAGCAGGAGGTGGTCAGGCCGTGGTGGCTGGACAGGGAGGGGCTCCGGGAGGAAGGGTAGTTCTGCATCGAGCTCTCCATGCAGTTCTGCTCGAACATCTGCTCATCTATGAACTCGTGGTTCTGGCGGGATGGGGGGGGGAAAGGACAGGGTTGTCACTCTCTGGTGGCACCGACAGCTTTGGCCCAACAGCGCTTTGTGTGCAACGGCAGCTTTGGCTGGGCTGGTGGTGGTGGGGGGAGTGTCAGCTCCTGGGCTCTCTGCCCCTGTGCCTGGAAATATCTGCACTGGGCAGGTCTTTGAAAGATCTTAAAATGATCTTTAAAAAGGTCTTAAAATGATTCTGCCCTCACTGCAACCACAAGGAGATTTGGCTCTCCTGTGTCTGTAGGGGAAGAAGAGGAGCTGTTGCAGTGAGAAAAGCACAGGAGTATGTCAGTGCTGCCTTGCTTACACAGTCTGAGGTGGTTAACCTCTTGTGGTTGAATTTCCTTCCATTTTTGTGTCTGGATTCCAGAAGTGCCTTCAAAAATCCTGGAATGACACATGGAGGGGTTCATGCCCCCCCCCTTTTTTTTTTTTTATGCCTAAGACAGGAGAGTGTTTTATTTGGATGCCCACCTGGACATAAAACTTAATTGCAGGATGTGTCTTGGATTGGCTGTTGGGTTCAAAGCATCCCTGCAGTGCCTTGGGTGAATGGAATAAACGTGGCAGGTGAGAGTGGGAAGTGTGTAGGGAAAGGAAATTCAGAAAGCTGAATCTGGAAAGAGCTATTTTGCTGAGGAACAAAAATCCTGGAAGAAAGAACTCGTGTGTGTGTGTGTACACGAACACCCAGTTAGTTCTAGAGAACAGACTTTATCCAGTCCCTAAAAAGGATGGGAAACAAAAGCAACCATGCTGAAGGCAGCCATCAGATTCCATCAGAACAACTAACAACTCTCACAGGAAACAAGAGCACTGGAGAACCAAGGGGAGCCACGTGCACAAACTCCCAAGTACAAGACCAAGAACGAGAAAACCAGCAAACACTGTCGAGACAATGTCACAGAGACCATAGAGAAAACAGATCGAATTAAAAAGGAAATACCTTGATGGTGGAAGCTCGTACAGATAACAGGGGATCATCCACAAGATAGGACAATCCCTATGGGACAACATGCCAACAAAAGATAAAAACACAATTGATTGTCCATTCCAGCATTCAGAAGTTTACTCCCAGCACTGCATCTCTTGCCTCAGCATTCCAGCTCACTCAAGTTTGAATGGGCAACAGGACCTTCTCTGCACCAAACCTTGCCTGAATCAGACCCCTTCGTTCCTTCCTTCTCGAGCTTTTGAATGTTGTGTTCTTGGAAACAGAACAAAACCCACCACAACGTTATTGCTTTGATCTTTTGAGAGCTGAAGGTGAAGGAAAACAAACTTTCAGCTGCTGATTCACAAGCCAAGAACTGGAATTGCTTTGCCAGTGGGTGTGGGGTTTGATCACACTCTGTGAAAACACAGGAGAAAGGTTTGGGTTGGAGGACTGAATTCGAGGCACTCGGAGAAAACATGGCCTGTGAATGTCCATGCTCAGTCCGGGAGTTGGAATGAGAGGCAAAACCTCCTTTTGTCTGAACAAACTCCATCTGTTGTGTTAATATGACAAAGTAATCTCTGTTGTGGCAGCTACAAGTGCTCCAGGGTCACTTTGTCACCTGACACAGCAGATTTGTGAGCCATTCACAGCCATTCAGCTGTGAGTGTGTGCTGGTGACAACCCAGACACAGTGTCAATAAATAATGTACTTTGAGAGTCCTCTCTAGTTTAAGGGAAGGTGAATTGCCCATTGAAACGAGTTTGCAACCATGGTACATTCCTCATTCCATTCCTGCGACCTGGTCACAAAATGACTCTTCAGTGCTTAAAAATGCTTTTACTACGATTTCAATTTCGGGGTGGGGGGTGTTTAATAGATTATGTGAGCTACAGAATTTCCACACAAACCCATTGAACTGTTTGGATTGATAATTCCAGGCCAGAATCCAAACTTGCTGTGTGATTTGGTGCTGCATCATGGTAATAACCGGCTGAAAATTGCAGGGGGAAAACACATTAAATGTTGTGCAGATTCTCTCTCTGGGTTTTAATCAAAATCCAAGTATGGCTCTTACTGCCATTCTCTGCTGAAAAGAGCAGCATTTGGAACATTTTCAAGGCCTGGGACTCACTGTCTGAGCAGGTTTGTGTGCTGGAGGCAACCAAACCTTTGTTAGGCTGATCCAGCCAGGTATTAGGGTACAAATTACCCTGCATCCCCAAATTAGGGTCCGCTTTGGCCACGGAGCTTGCAGCGCTCACCGGCTCATTAATAACAGAGCAGCTCCTGCAGAGCCCTGGGAGGTTCACCTGCCCTGTGCAGAGGCCAGAATTTCTAAAAGCCTTTATAAAATCGGGCCTTGCAAGGGCAGACCCCGCAGGCAGGGCTGTCAGCTCCTGTTTGCTTCACCCAGTTTTGCTCAAAGTTCTCAGATGGAAGTGGTTTGTTTTTTTTTTTTTGGTGGAACACGGGTCGTAGCCGTGAAGGTTTCAGGCAGAAAGTTCCAAACTGAAGAGTCAGGCTGTGAAATATCTGCTGGTTTATGTAACATCCAAAAACTGGTCGAAATAAAGGCACGATGAGGTCTTATAAAACAAACTCGATAGTCATTGATACAGGAAGAATCAGATCACTGTCCTTGGTGACCTTTAGAGCTCGTTGGGCTCAGAGGTCACTAGAATTAATCAGCACCTTCTTCCAGTGTATCTCTGAGGCCTAAGTGGTGTTATTCCAGCACAAACCAAACTATGGAAGTGAAGGTGATTTATCTAAAAGAAAGCTCTGGCAAGTCAGAAACCAAAAGTACATTTGATGATGGATGCAGATAGAAAAAGGCATGAATATTTCAAGTGTTAACCTCGCTTCATTCGCTCTAGAATGAATCATGGTATAGATAATGTGTTCCTTTACTGCAGAACCTTTTATATAAACCTGGAAGCAAAACATATGTATCAAATAAACATCTGAAACGTTCCCAGAGACTTCTGCATACACAATCACTTAATAATAAAAAACAAAGCTCTCACTGCCAACACCTTGCATGATGCAAACAGAAAAGTCATGCTGTAGAAACTGCTTGGCTGGCTTTGAGATAAATTACCTGCCCTTGTAACCAGACTGAAATGAGAAAAGATATGTGCAACCTTTAAACCCATTAATAGAGTTCATCTGCTCTGAGCCATCTCATGGGCTAAAGGTTATTTTCTTTCCAGCCTGCTGGCACTGGTGACCAGCTTGTGGTTTGGAGTCACCACCAGCATCTTCTTCCTCTTTAAGGCAGCAGAACTGTCCTTAATTGCTAATTGGCACAAATGATGGGTGGATGTGATGTGTGACTGACAGCACAGGACAAATGCAGGTTAGTTCTCTTTCAGAAAACACTGAAGAAATTAAACTCATTGTTTCTGAGATCTCCCTAATTCTGTGCTGAAAACTTATTTTGCCTTCAGGTGGCCTTGACTGAGCAACCTGCTGCTGACTTTGTGCAGGTGTAGGTGGCTGGGGAGCAGCAGATAACCTCACCTTCATCCCTTTGCACAGGGATTGGTTTTATTATTTTAAGGAGACAATGAAGTAGAAGTGCTTTTAACCCACTGCAGGACGTCAGGAGCTTTAGTACCAGCCCCTCTGGCACTGGTGGGGATGTGCTGGGTGTGTCTGAGCAAGGGCCACCTCAGAGCATCCCGTGGGCACACCTTGGCCACGGGAAGCCCGTGCCAGACCTGGGCGCTGTGGAAGGATGGTGTTGGTACTTACGGTTGTTTTTTCCAGGCAGTGCAGCAGATGGTGGTGTTGGCTTTCGATTAAGGAGGTGCCTTTAGTCATGTGCTGTTCCTCTTCGGTGGATCCCTGAATAGCCACAAAAAAGAAAGGGGTGGTGGTGGTGGGGGGAACAAAACCCAAACCAGGTGTAAAACCATGAAAACAAACAGAAATAAGAGTTGCATCACGAGCTTTCACGGGGGTGAAGATAACACTTTGTGTTGCCAGCTCCCAGGTTTTTCTCCTGGCTCTTAGGAGGTTTCCTCTTTTTTCCTTAATGATTTGGGTTGTAAACTGTAGGTGAGGGGCTCAGCTTGGATTCCAAACCTGTGTGTTTCCAGGTATTCCATAGCTGGGGAGGAGATGTGGGAAGGACTGCTGACACATGATGTCAGGGCTCAGGAGCCAGAATGGTAAAGAGAAAAAGGACCTGTGCCGTTGTATTTTTCCAAAATGCATTAAGACTCCTGAGCTTGACGTGACCTTTGAATGCCAGCAGACGTACCCTGAACCCCGGGCTGTGTTGGGAGACAAAACACAACCTGTCCTGCCTTCTCTGAGCTAAAGCCTGGCTCTGCCTGACCTTCAGGGCTGTGCAGTGCTGGGCCCCTTGGAACTTGGGTGTTTTATTTGCCAAACCCTCCTGAGTCACAGCTGCACTGCTGGAGCAGAGAATCTGAACCTGAGGGGCTCGATCTGCTGGAAGCCTCTGAAACAGAGGTGGATGAGAGGTTGGGAGCCTGAGTCCAGCAGTGTTTAGCTCACACAGAAAGCTTTGTCTCCAGCACTCATCAAAACAGCAATAGCCCAATTTAGTTAACTTGGATGTGAGAGGAGAAAGCCAGTACTCTCTATTTTTGATTTCTGCCCTGGATCAGTGAGCCAGATGCTTATGTTTCTCAAACATGTTACTTCCCCTGTGATCTGATGGTCAGATCCACCTCAGACATGAAAGGAAAAGCAGCAGTTGGGGTTGTCTTGAGAGTTTCTGTGCTATGGGAGAGCCAGGAGTATTTTTCTCCCTTATTCTGTTGTGTGGTGGCAGATTTTTAAGGATATTCTCTTACTACTACTACTTAAGTTCCTGGTCTCGAAACTCACTGTGATTTCATCCCACTTTAATCTGTGCTGTGTCTTTGAGGACTGGCGTTTTCAAAGACAATTTGTGTGCATTAAAACAGCTATTAGGTGTTGTAAAACGTTTTCCCCCTTTTCCACAAGTGATGGGTGCCTGGTGTTTTGTGTGATGCCTAAACCCTAAAGTCAGAAAGGGATGTTCACGGCTTGAATCTCTGCCCAGGCACGAACCAGCAATATCTGACTGTTCAGGGGAGGAAATGGGTGGGATGGGAGGCACGGCAGAATAACTTGTCAGAAGTGCCAAGGCATTGCCTGTTGCTCCCAGGGGGGTCAAATTCATCTCTGGTTGAAGCATTGCATTTAAACACACCCCTGTGTCCCAGTGATTCACTGCAAATGCCTCTCCTGGATGCCATTTCCAGGCTGGTGCTGTGATCCTTAAGTGAAGGAATAACTCTGTCTCTGACAGATGCCAAAACACAGCTGAAGTGGTACATTAAGGAAGCTGACTTACTGTACACAGAATTCATAGATTCCTGGGGGAATGCATCTTAGGCAGGTTATGGGTTTTGGTTTTTTTTTTTTTTTTTGGTTGCTGTTGTTTTGGAAGATGAGCATTCCCAGGAGTATTTTTAGAAGTGGCCCAAAAGGAACAAAAAAAAAGATCAGTTCCATTTTTCTTACTAACAATCCTCCTGGTGAGGTAACACACCCAGCAGGCCCTGTTGGTACCTGCTGAGATCACTGACTCCACTGGAGTCTGGGTTGGAATATTTCCCATGGAGGTCCTTGGCAACCCTAAAGCAGATAGGATGCTGCACTAAAACACTGGAAAAGGAGAGAGGAAGAGCATATATTGCAAAACAGCATCTTTTTTTTATGAGGATTTGCTTGGGAGGAAATCTAAATGGGATCTGAGAGCAAAGATAGAGCTTTGATACCTCTGGCAGGAGACTTGAGCCAATTGTTGAATGTTACAGCTCAGCCTCTCCCTGTGCCTTCCATCCCAAGGCTGGGATGGAAAGGCTGTGACCAGGAATAAGGTGGAATATCAGAGATTGTACCTTATCTTCCTTTTGGGTATTTTTTTTTCAGTCAGCTCAAACAAAGAGCAGGCAACCACTGAGCCCATCTGAAGTGGAAATTAGGCATGAGATCTGCTGGAAGTCCTGCCCTAGGACAGTGACAGTGCCAACAGCACACAAACTGGGCATTTTGACAGCACTGTTGAGGAAAGTGGAACCTACAGATGTTGCATTAGTGGTACTGCAGGCAAACAAAACCTGTGTCTTCATTAGAAGAAGCTGGCTGTAATGGAGAGGCTGGTGGGGGGGAGGAGAGGGGATGGTTTGCTTTTGGAGCTGGGATGCCAGTTTTGCAGGGATCTGATGCCAGCTGCCATTCAGTTTGTTCTTGGAAGACAGTCAGTGAACTGCTGGTTGCCTGGAGGGGAGGCTGAAACACACTGAAAACCAAAATACTTTCACTTTACCTCTCTTTTAAGGGCTCCATCAAGCAGAATTGGGCCCTGGTGAACCAGGATGAGCTGGTTCAGGGGTTGGACTGTCCCTGCCCATGGGAGAAGCTACAAGGCTTATCTGTGGCTAAGCAGGTCCTGCTTGTGAAAAGGCACAAGACCTCACAACCTCCTGTTCCTGGGATATACAGCTCCCAGCATTTCAGCTACAAGGGAATTTCAGCTGGCTGTACAAGGAGATTAGTGCTAAGAGGATATGTGGGCTCTGCCATGGGAAGGAGCTCACCCATCCCTTGAGCACTTTTGACATAAAGCCCACTAAGAAAAAAAATAGAAATCTGTAAATGAGACGAAAACAGTCTGAGAACTTCGTGTCTCGATGGCAAATGCCACAAATCCACATGTTTGTGAAGCAAGAGCCTGTATTCTTGCTGGGAGCAGATCTCCTTCCTGCTGCTGTCCTTGGATGAATCCTTTTCTTCCCTCTTTCTTGACTCTGCTGCGAGGCCACAGGCTGAAGACGTGCTGTTCCCTCGGAAGATGGTGTCAGTGTGTTCATTCTGGTGCTAATGAAAGGACATTCTGGCACACGTTCTGGAATCCTGAACAGTCCTTATTTTCCAATTTATTAGCTTGACTGCAGAGCCACAGCCAGGCTGCGTTGTGGGGGCAGTTGTTTTGTGACCCCTCCAAGTGTCAGAGTGCCAGGCAACGAGAGCTGGGCCCTTGTAAAACAATAACACAAGTGGGATTGCTGCTGATGGAAGTGATAATATCTGGTCACGGCCACGGAGTAATTGCAGTTGGAATTGCTGCTGGGTGACAAACCAGCCCTAAGGCAATCTGGCCATGTGCAGCCCATTACTGTGAGCAAGAATCCTGGGCAAGGTGTCAAAATGGGATGTGCACCTGACCACTGAAGCAGTTTGATCCTAATTTGACTGACAAATATGCACAGTATGTAGATAATATTTTGGTGCCTAAATATAGCAACTGCAGGAGTCACATTCCTTCATATTTTTACAGCTTAAAAAATGTGGCTGTCTAGACTATGCTGTCATTCACATTTTGTACCCTTCAGAATAGTTTGTTCTCCTGCCATAAAATGAGAGGACACGAAATCCTGCCTCGTGGAGTTAAAATGGTCATGTAAAGAGAGGATGTTCTGCAGTTCTGTAATTAATTAATGCCACTACCTGGGGATGGAGAGACGTTTTGGCTTTTGATTCAGGTATGTGGCTGGTCCTCAGGTAGTCAGAGACCATTTCCTGGTGGTTGTGCAGGTGCCAGGCATGGCTTTGGCAAGTCTCTTGTTTTAAAAAAATTAATAAAAATCTAGTAATTTTCACAGGTGGATGGTAATTCTTTGACTGTTTCAACAGGGAGTTCCTTCAGGTGGGGATATTTTCTTGCAGAGTGTTAATACAAATATACACAGTATTTAGTGCTTTTCAGAGTGGGATTTGTGGTTCTTGCTGGGCCATGGGGGGAAATCATGTGAGCATTTTAACCTTCCATCTACTGGAAGATTCCCTGCCCAATGCAGGGGGTTGGAACCAGATCATCTTGAAGGTCCCTTCCAACCCAAACCACCCCATGACTCTGATTTTGAGCTATAAACCCACCCAGAAAGCAAGTTGCACCCAGAAAACCCTGCAAAAAAACTGCTCTAGGTGTTACTGAATATCTATATTTAGTTTTTAAGGGGTTAAAAAAAAAGTCCTCTAGAACCTCTTTAGGAATGTTTTGTTTTTGTTCCTGTGTCTACAGTAGCTCCGTAACCAACAAAAAACGATCCCTTTCCCACTGATTTTTTGGGCAGGTGCCAAGAAATGAGCCCGTCCAGCCAAATATTTCTCTCAACCCCCTGCATTTTGGACTTAGGCACTGGTGCGTCAGCTGCTCTTCCCTGAGTGGTCTTGGCAGGGAGTTTTGGTTGACAAGAGAAGTGAGGAGATTCTCGTTGGGATGACAGGCTGGAAGATCAAGTGCAAACTGAGCGTCCCTGCTAAGCTCTCCTGGCGTTTCTCAAAAACCCAGAAATCGAAAGCTTGAAAGGAAATTTTAAATTTTTGAGTCGAATTTTTTTTGCCCGTCTCCGGTAATGAAAAAGCAGAATCCCAGCAGAGTTGGTTTCCCTGAGCCTTCCCTGGCTGGGGATAAGGTTCTGGAATAGGTGTGACCAGCCTGCCTGGTCTTTACTTGATAAAGAAACTTCTCTTGAGCTGCTCAACAGCAACATATGGTTCAAGAAACAGATTTTTTTCGGGTGTTGCTGCCATTCACAGAGCAGGAGACAACGTTGGATGTGTAGCCAGAAGGATCAAACTTGTTTTGGAGGGGAGAACAGCAACTGATCTGGGCACCCCACCTTCCAAATCTGTGCTTCGTGTGTGAAGTGCTTTTGTGGAGTCACTTGAAAAACGATTCCAGTTGTAAAGGGCCAGATTTCTGTGTCCCAGTCTGCGCTGAGCACCTTCCTACGTGGAAAACAAGGTGCTGCACGACTTCCCTGTGCTGTGCCCACCCAGCTGGGCTGGCAGCGGGCTCAGGTCTTTGGGGAGCAGCTTTCACCATGAACTGAAAAGGTTTGTCAGCTTTGATTTTATGGAATCATCAAGGTTGGGAAAGACCTCCAAGACTGAGTCTGACGTTTGATCCATCCCCACCTTTTCTCCCAGCCCAGAGCACTGAGGGCCAACGTCCTGTCCTTCCTCAGGCACCTCCACGGGTGGAGACTCCAAACCTCCCTAGGCAACCCCTTCCAGTGCCTCACCACCCTTTCCAGCAAGAAATTCCTGCTGATGTCCAACCTGCCCCTCCTCTGGCACAGCTTGAGGCTGTTTCCTCTTGTCCTGTCCCTTGTTCCCTGGGAGCAGAGCCTGAACCCCCCCAGCTCCCCCCTCCTGCTCAGGCTGAATGCAATAACCTCACCTCATGCTCTGCCAGTTCTGCTGAGCAACCTGACGCGCCCAGAACTTCCCTCCTCCTGAGGGAAGGCCTCCAGAGGCCTTTAAAAACAAACCCACCACCCAGCTGCCTCAATCAGGAGCTAGGGAATATTTCCCTGTCCTCTTGGAGACGACCAATTAGCCCATATTGTGCTCTCAGCAAAATAAATGACTGCGTGTTGGAAGGGAGCGACCCCAGACTGCGGAAACCAGTCCAGCTCCAACAGAGGGATTAGAGGGAACTGGGCTTGTTGCTGGAAAGCCAGATACTTTTCTAGCCCAAGGATGAGCCCACAGGAGCTTTTTGCTCCCATCCAGCTGGGTTCCAGCTGTGCCTCCACGCAGCGACAACGCCATTCCGTGCCCGATGCCGCCACGCTGGATAACGAGCAATTAAGCGGCAACGAGAGGGAAAAGGGAGCGAGCCCAGGGAGAGGAGTGGGGAACGGGGAGCTTGGGGGAGTCTTGGGAAGGAGCTGGCGTGCCCACACTCACCGTGAGCTCCAGGGCTTCGTTGAGGAGGCCGTTGCGTTTGCTGTGCAGGTACGCGTTGGAGCTGCCGGTCTTGGCCACGCGGATCCGGGCGAGCCGGGCTTTCTGTGGAGGAGGGAGACAACCGAGTCAGGACTTGGGACACATCAAGCAGAACAGGAGCAGGAGGAAGGAGGTGTCAGGTTTTCACTCTTCTCTGGGGGTGAATGAGAGGGATGGGCAGAGGGGTTGAGGTGCTGCTCGACCAGGAGCAGCCGGCACAGGTCTGTCTGCAGGAGCTGAAGCGCTTCAGCTGCCACAGAGTGTTAAAAACCTCTCCAGAGACAACAAAAAAGATGTGCAGAGTTTTTTTTTTTACCTTTTCAAAAGTTCATTGTAAATTTTTTTTGGGGGGAGTTGCACAGCACTGAGAGCCTTGTCTTGGACATACCCCTGGCACAGGGGGATTTTGTGTGGTTCAGCACCGAGCACACGAGTTGTTTTCGTGGTTCACCTTCCCCCTAACGTGCTTGGCTGTTTGGTCCTCTCTTCATCTTCCAGCTCTGTTCTCTCACATCTCTGTTGTCACCTCTCTGCAGCAGCACAGGGACACAGCTGGCCCTCAGTGAGGGGGGTCTGTCCCCTGCATTGGCAGTGTTAGTTTATTAACTTTGCTATCTCATACTATAAGACTACCCAAAAAATACACACCTCTTACCAACTGACAGAAGTCACTCTGCAACAACACAGGCATTCAAGTCCCCTCATGTTTATTTATCCCTGACCTTCTAGATCTCCCGGGGGGACAAGTTAGATGATGAAAGGCAGTCCAGAATAAAGCAAACAATAAAAATGATTCCCTCTTCCTTTTTGATAATTTTTGATCATTCCTTTTAGCATTTAATTTTTTTTTTTCAATTGCTGCCTGCTCCTCTGTCAAGTGCTGATTTGCCTTTTTCTACAGTTAATTTATGACTCAAACACCATTAAAAGTAAATACATGAAATAGCTGCGGCTATTAAAAAATAATTACATTGTGCTGTAGTTTAAAATGCTGCATAATCCCTTAAATAACATGGAGCTCGTGATTTTGCCTTCTAATTAGAGGTGCTAATGGGTAGACACTGTGGGAAGAATAAAGTATCTGCAGTGGGTCCAGGGAGCACTGTCATTCCAGGAGCTCTGTTCCTGGGAGTGTGTGAGTGACTCTGGCCTTCAATAGTTGGAAGATTTGTTTAACCTCAAGACCTGCTGCTCAAACAGACAATTTCCCAGGCAAAGACATGCACAGGGCACCAGTTTGCAGCTTTAATTGGGTGACACAGACTATGACCAGTCTGAAAAATAGGTCGTCTTTTGACCCCCCCCCAAAACGGGGACATCCAAAATTGACTTTATTTTCTATACTTCACCTAGATTTCACTGTCCCATTTTAATGCTGAGGCTCCTAATCAGCACCTGAGAGTGAAATCTCTGTGCTGGGACCAAGGTCCAATGTGGTCACCCTGAGAAAAGGGCACAGGTTGTATTTGCAAGATTTAGGCTGAGAATGCAACGAGAAAGTGAATTTGGAGCTTCAGTTTTTTCTGAAAACTTTCCCAGACTGCTGTGTTGCTTTGGGCCCTGAGTAAGACTGGCCTGAGGCTGTAATCCAAAAATCCACAGGAACTCCTGCTATTGAATATGACTTAGGGGGAGAGAGCAGGGGATAAGGGACTGAAGGATATTCCATTTTCCAGTTAAGTGCAATTGCCTGTCTGTTCCTGGTAATTTACTGGAAATGTAATTATTTCTTCTATATGCAAGTATATGCCTTTGTGCCTCTGTTCTTTACTTTTCTCAGTGATCTTGAGACTGGATTTTGGATGCACTAATGATCTTTACAGGGAGGCTCTGAGGGCCACCACTAAAAATCCTCATTTTTTTTTCTGTTCTTGACCAAACATCAGCTCCTTTGCTGGAGGAATTGCCAGAGCACCCCAGCTCAGCTCACCTGTAGCAGGAAAGGTTTTCTCCTCACTTCCAGTTCAGTCAATTGTTCAAGTGGATTCAGTCTCAGGCTGTTGTAATGAACATTATTCCCTTTGCCTCCAGGCTAGCAGGGGATCAAATATTAATAGCTGTACTCCATGTGGACTGAAGCTGGTTCATTTCTGAGGTCTGTTCTCTTTTTCTTTTTGAAACAGGGCCACCAGCCATCTAAATAATTAAGCCCCACAGCTTTTGTAGTTTAGAACAGACGTTGTTATTTTAAAAAATGTCAGCGGGGCAGGACAGAAGTTAATCCTATTTCTCCTTCCACAAAGGATCGTCTGGGATCGTCACATCGCCCAACTCCGCGTCCCCATCGTGATTAAATTTGGTAGATATCTTGATTAACTCAGCTAGAGAAGTTAATTAAAAATTGGTGCCTAAAATTGGTTTGGCCCTCCAGACAGTTTCCTGCATTGGACTAGAAACAACTGTAAAACAGCAGTTCAGGTTTTTATGGGAAAGTCTGTGTTGAATGGGGAATTATTTGGAAAGCATCTCGGTGGAGTGCCACGAGCTCTGCGTGGCGTTCAGGCACCTGTTGCCCCTTGATGTGGGATGTGCTACTTTGATCAAGCCTGACAGTAAAAGAAGGGTTTAAGAACCTCCAAATTCTGCCTGGTTTTACCACATGTGGGTATGTTTTTGTCCTCCCTGCCCTGCAGGGCTCGGTGCTCCTGGCCTGAGGACAGAGGTGCCCAAGTGGAGGACTGTGGTTTTCTGACTTTTTTTTTTGGGGGGGGTGTTGGGATAGCTGCCATTTGCATCTTATCCCCCAAATGTGACAGACTAAAGGTCATCAGGGCCAGGCCTGAGATCACTGTTACTGAATATAACCCCTGCACAGAGAGTCTAAAAAAGGAAAAGAAAGCAGCACACTGTGTCTGCATGTAGAGTGGGGAGAGGAGTTGCTAGGAAACCACAGGATCTCAAAATGCATATGACCTAATCTGGAAGATAATTTATATGATGAAAATAATAATACTAATGACAGCCACTTACAGGTTAGAATGATTAATTTGGTTATCTTGGAGCCCACGTGTTTCTGAGAGCAGGGTGGAAGGCAGGGCTCAGTAACTTTCGGGGTTTAGTGGTTTTTGGGAAACTGGAGGCCTGGAATAAGCAGTGAAGACCTGTACAGGTGGAGGGCTGAGGTGCAGTGGGGAGGATTTCAGCACCCTGGGTATCTGCACTTCCCAAAGGGACTGGTAGAGGAGGAAAAAATAGCCTAAGTTCATCTTTTAGCTTTTGGGAGAAGTGCAAGGAGCAGGAGCTGCTGGCTGGGAAAACTGCTTACCAGATGGCAGGCTCAGGAAACAGCTAATTATTATTTATTAATGATTTTCATCTAGTTCTTATGGAGATAACGTTCACTCTTGATTTATGTGGTCTAATAAACTATTAAGCTACAGCCTATGACATAATTTCATATTTGCCAGACATCTTCAGCTTTCCAGCTCCTCAGAACTTGAGCAAGGAGTAAGTGTGTCAGGAATATGTCCTGTATCCACTTCTCCTTCTTGGGACTGGAGCTGTTGTTAAAATCAACCTTCACAGGATGGCTGAGGTTGGAAGGGACCTCTGGAAGTCATATCAGAGGTCATCTGCTCCAACTTTCCTTCTCAAACAGGGCCACCTACACCCAATTGCCCAGACCTGTGTCCAGGTGGCTTTTGAGTATTTCCAAAGAGGGAAACCTGAATACCTTGATAGATACGTGTTGTATGTAAATATTGGTGTATATATATTTTTAATATGTATTCAGATATATATTTGTGTACCTGAACATATTTATATACATCAGTAAAACCCCTCTGAGCTTTCTCTTTTTTAATCTAAACAGTCCCAGCTCCCTCAACCTTCCCTGGTGTTAGAGGTGCTCCATCCACATCCCTCCTACATTTATCTGCTAAAACCACACTAAGAGGATTCCTGGCAGAAAAGGCAGCCACACGAGATAATTAACAGTGCTTCACATGCTAATTCCTAAACAATCAGTGGTTTGAATTTGAATAGACCTATTGGTGGCTGCTGCAGTTCGTGTGCACCACTGGTCCTTTTGAGGCTGAAATGAAGCTGCTCTCAGAAGTCATCAGAAGAATATCTCACTTTTTTATTCTCAAGGTGAAACATCACAGCAAGCCTTGCATTTTTCTGCATCTGTGGCTGGTTCAGGGTCTGGGCTTTAATTCTGGGTGGAAAGAACGTGGCTGGTTTTAGGATGTGGAAAGGGCAACAAGCAGATTGTAGAGTTAAAACAGGAGTTTGTGTGCAGGCTTAACACCAGGGCTTGGAGTAAGGAATGACAAAAAATATCTTCTTGTAGTTGTGTTCTCACCTTCCTAAAATGATCTTGTCTGTGGTACTTTTGACTAATTTTAGCATAAAACTCAGAGAGGAATTCAGCAGAGGCTTCAGTCTGTACTTCTGAGTGGGAATTGGGTGCACAAATGTGACTTGGGAAGGGAATGGATGGAACCTTCCTCTGGTGGGAACCAGCTGAGCTCCCCAGCCTGTTGTGGGAGCTCCTCCCTGCCGAGCAGAGCACGGAAAACCCTTCATTTTTAAAAAATAATGGAGTGGACAAGACATTAAAATGGATCCACTGCCTGTGGAGTGCCATCCTCAACATAATGAGGCACCACTGATCATCTGTCCTGATTATGACACCGAGAGGCTGCTTTGCCATCTCTAACAGAGCAGGTTGGAGAGGGAAATTAGGGCTGGGGGTTATTACATGTGTTTGAATGCTGAGTGGAATCATGGCTGTTTAAAAAGCAAATGGTCCATATAATAAGAACTAGCTGTTATTCTGCTTGCCATGGTCCATCTGGCTGTGGTAATGGGAAGGCAGTGGAGGCACAGCACTGTTACACGCTCTAAAACTACTTTTTTTTTCTCCTTTTAACCTTTTATTTTTTTTTTCCCCTAAGAAACATAGTATGCACATTTAAAATTTCCTTCCTCTCCAATCTTTACATTAAACAGCTTTTGAGGCGAGTTTAAATATTCTGTCACTTCTGCTTTGGGGGAGATGTTATAGAGCTGCATATGGAAATTAGATAGTGTAGAACTCATTATATTCCTATATAATT